AATTCTCTTATCGACTGGCTTGACATGGTAGATAGGAGTTCTTTCTGCTGGTTTGCCAGCATAGACTTGCTGCACCCGGTTGCTCTCTGCTGAGGGCACTTGTATGGTTGCAAGTGTTACTATTAGTGGATGAGCGCTAACGTTAGGCTGTACCGTTGTGAAATCCGCCGTTTCCTTAGGCGTTGAACGTTCTTTGTCCTTCCTTACTTCCTCGTTAATCCACTTGCGCCATTCTGGCTCTGCGGTAAGAAGCTTCTCAATTCTTTTCTTCGTGGCTTCCCTGATAGTGAAGTCCGAAGGTATCAGATCAGGGCGTATGTAGTAGCAAGTTGCTACTCTATGACGTGGGTGTGTGTTTCCACATAGGCAGGACCGTTCGTGAAACGGGGTCTCTGCAGTCTGCTTTGGCTTCTTAGACTTTACAGCAGAGATTGTTGCCACTTGCTGTGAAGCTTCCTCATGCCCTTGCCAGGTTAAGAAGGAGGCCTTTGGTGCTGACAGTGATGGTTTAGCACCTGTTTCGCGGTAGATACTGCGAAAGGACTCGATAAGCTGATTGATATCACGCTTCTCTTCATTAAGGATGACAGCAGTGTATTCCGCTTGCCACCACATTAGCAGGACTTCCTTCACAGCCTTGATAAAGTAACGTACTGCATCTTCATCATCAACCCTAATGCCGACGCTAATGACTTCTTGCCGCAGTATGTCCCACTTGTCGATCTATTGGTCGACATCCTTCCCGGGTTTCTGCGATGCAAGTTGCTCCCACTTATCGCGCAGCTCTTCCTTATAAGAGTTGCTTCTTGCGAACCGTGTTTTCAGCGCTATAAGCACATCATACGGGGTTTCTTTGGTGATGACGGAGCGATGATACTTGCTGTTAAGGGTGGTAAAGATATATTCGTATACATCATTCAATCCCTTGGTCTGCTTCTCATACTTCGAGAGAGCAAGCTTATAGACATCGAAGCGGTCTCGCCACTTGCGGGTCTCCTTATCATCTCCGTCTTCTGGGTATTCTGGTTCTACCGGCTCCGTACTGCGCTTAGGGAGTGCATCCTCATTGACTTCTGGATTGCATAGCTCCCAAACCGCGCGCAGTTGGGCGAAGCGCCTGGTTTTTGCATACCAAGTGCTCCATTGAGCTGGTTCACGAAGTTTATCGCCCTTCATGGCGGAGAGTGTTGACGCATCCATGCTTGCTGAAGTGTAGTGATCACTTGCTGTATCGCTTGCTAGCGAGGATGGGGTATGGGTGTGTTGGCGTTGCAGAACCTGGAAACCTTAGGGGATCACAGGGGCACCCCCAGTACGAGTCAGAGAAACACTTCGACTTGGGAGCCGTTTCTGGCCCCCTGTTGGTAATTACGAACTATACTCGCACACAAACAAGGCTTACCGCGAGAAGGCCGTTTCCGGCCTTCCACTCACCATCTCCGATATTACCACAATACACTAGGAGACGGTTAGCCCCACGTGATCCAGGGAAGCTACTCCCGCAGATACCCATGAACCTACCCCGGGGGTAGCTCATGGAGTCGACAAGAAGAGTAGGCACGAAGGATATATAAGGACATTCGTTTCATGTACTTAGTTTAGTTCTTCGTCTTCAATCATACATTGTTACTTGTGAATACCTTTGGAACTTCAGAGACTCTTTACTTGATTATAACTTGATAACCACTACGACTAGACCAATACTTCGGTATAGATCTATTCGGCGCACTACCTGGCATCGTTCCTCGATACCCTCGACAGGACTCATCCCGCAGTAAGGCCTGCTAGGCAACGGTACGGTTGAGAGACAGATCGTTGAGGTTGGAAGTCTGCAGGAAATCAGAGAAGTATCTCCCGATTCTATCTAACATAACTGTGACCAGTTAGCTGTGCGTAACATAGGGCTCGCGCAGCCTTCGCCATGGCAAAAAGAACCTGAGATAAGCCGCACGGAGCGCTGGTGGCAGCTAGCCCAGGCCGCCATCGAGCCCGAGATGCAACGGATGATGGGCAACAACGGGCTACTGCTGTCACGAAGAATTCAGGATCAATGATCCTGAACCGATTCTGCCGTGTTCCACCGCCTTTCGTAGTTCGTGTTTTACATTGTTTGATTGGAGGCCTCAGGCATCACTACCTTAATTGTTTCAGCGTGTTGTTTCTTTCTTCTTCTTTCTTTCTTTCCCCATGTTTAGTATTCTAGTTGAATGCACTCTTTTTCATCAAGACTTGGCTCGTAACAACTGCTTCGAGGGGTGCAGGCACCGGCATTAGCTGCCATTCAACAGGGCCAGAGCCCAGTGGTGGCTGTGATGCCCACCGGGGGCGGCAAGAGCCTGCTATTTATGCTACCCGCGTGGATCAGCCCCCGAGGGGTAACGGTGGTCGTAGTGCCGTTAATTGCACTACGGGGTGATCTCGTCCACCGTTGCCGGCAGCTCGGCATCGCATGTGTGGAATGGGAGAGCCGGCGGCCGGCCGATCAGGCATCCATTGTACTGGTCACGCCCGAATCGGCTATTACGGAGGACTTTATGACGTTTTTGAACAGGCAGCGGCTCGGCCATCGGCTAGATCGAATTGTGATTGATGAATGCCACGTTGTGCTAAATGACCAAAGCCAATTCCGGCCTGCCATGGCCTAACTAGGTGTGAAGGGCTACAGCTGAATTGATTCAATTAGGCGGTGCCTGCATGCTGTTTATCCAAATCTTAGAGAACCGTAAACAAGGGAGCGGTCAACTGCTGTATAGTGCTCCCTAGGGCGGTCAGGCTACCCGTTCGGCAGTATCGGGTGCGGTGTCTGCACGGGCAAAGCCCGAGCCTCAACGTGGCCCTGGCCCGTTACATATAGTTTCTGATTATTAAAAGTAAATAGAATAACAAGAAATATAATCTTAATCATGTTTTTACTTTACTTGATCAATATACTCTCTAATCTATAATAGTATTGTTCTCAATCCGTTTTATAGAGTATAGACCTAGTATTCAAATATATATATCTTTTATAGTTTCATAGAAGACATAATACTTTGACTTTAAAAATCAAACCTTAGTGCACACTCTGATTAAAAGGACAAAATTTTAAAGTAATTATACAAAATATAATCAAAATACTCTATATACATGGCGATTTATAAAAATATATAGAGGTTAGTGAAGAAAACTTTCATATAATGCTGTAGTGACCAAAACATACGTAAATAACAGTAAACAATTTAGAAAACTCAGCAAGTTATCCATCCATTTTAGGTGATTTGTGCAGGGCTTGGCATAGGATGGGAATTTTATGGGACCCATAGGAATTCCCATTTCCCAGAGTGGGAGGGAAATAGGGAGCTGAAATTTCCCATGGGAAACTGTCCATGGGAAATGGACAAAAAAGATTTCCCATGGACGGGAAATGTCGAGGTCTAGTAGTAAATTAGCCATATCCTGATATATAGTATATATAAGGGTAAACCCTCTAGGTTTTGGAGAGAGCAGCCACTCTTCTATCGATTTCTCTTCAGGTTTAGAGAATTTATAGCGATGATAGCGGCGTATAACCCGACTTTTATAACCCTTCATCCGATCTTATAACGTTGATCGCGGCATAGTGAAAGCTTCGGCAGCAGCTCTAATAGAGGTGTATTTCCAATTTTCTATAACGCTAATAGCTAACAGAAGGCGGCCCTCCTGTTTAACCAATCTTTGAGCTTTTTGAGATCGAATTGGTGGCATTGTTGATGTTCAAAAACATACGTTGCTATGGGATCCATTTTACTTTGCGGGTGACCGGAGTAACAGGGATCCACGTTACCTTTGGAAGCATTCCCAATTGTAATCTACAAAACCCAAAACGAGAAAAGATCGGACCTGCTGGGGACTAATTTTCAGATCAACAGTTCTCCAGCACAACCAAATCCCCAAACGGGAAATTTCTTTTTCTTTTGCTATTTCTCCGACTTCCAAGATTATCACGAGAGAGAATAGAACTTTGGAACGAATTAATATTTTCTTATTGTCGGCAATGCCCGCTGCCTAGGGTGGGTATATGTTGCTCGCTCCGCCGTTTTCGCAGCAAAATACCCTGTAAATACGCTAGTCTTTGTTGTCAACCGATTCTGCTCATCCGGCTTGCTGGTCACACATAGACATCGGCAAAACCCAAACCCCCTTGAGCCCAAATCTAGTTCCGTAACGCCCTCATTAAGCCTAGAACCCAATCCAAAACATACCCAAGTCATTTCGTTTTAGCATAATCTTCATAAACAGGAAGGTCTTGGCAGTCATAAAATGCTTATAAACACTGCACTCGTAAGTTATATTTAATACGTCCTGTATCACCTTATATATCTTTTTGCTTTAATAAGCAATAGTATCGATAGCTATTAATAGCTTATATCTTTCCTATAATTGTTGAACAGCATATTATTGTAGAGGTAAGTGGAAAACACGGGCTCTCCAAAAGAGAGATATTTTTGCAGATGGTATGTGCACCATTTTTTCTACGGGCGGCGTAATTTATCAACTATCAAAAAATCTCAATTATATACTTACATTAAGTAAATGTATCGATTTAGGCCTACTAATTATATTATTTTATCTATAAATATGAATATTACCTGGTGTACGTAGGCGTTTACGTTGCCAAAACATCACGTTATCTTGCATAATTTCTTGGCGAACCCAAGTTGGGTCACCAGGAACACCCCCTTTGAGCCCAAAACCCAGCCCAATTGGGTTTGAAACATGCTTCAGTTGGGTTACTCGGAACACCTGCCGAGGTCTAGGCACATTGCAAGGATCGTTTCCTTGTCACGTAGGAGGCTTTGAAGTCAAAGCATTTTGTTGAATGAAAGGGGTCAAGAACGGTGCATCATAAAATGTGCGGAAAACCAAGAAGAAATACAAAGAGTGGATATAGATACACGTGACAAATTTTATTGATCAAAGTGAAGCTTGAAGTTCATTCAACGAATCAATTCCATGCAATTTCCAGTCTATACTACTATATTCTACTCTCCATTTCCATTGACACACTGGGATGCAGCAGGAGTTACAAAATCAAACAACCCCTTCCATTCCCTAGTACGGGAAATCACAAATCCTGTTGAGAGAACGTTCTGCTCACCAGTCCCAACGACAGTGACTGTATACTCTCCCGCTTCGCTAAGCCAAGCAGACTGCCTCTCATCCCAGAAACTGGTAGCCAGAGCTATTGGGATAGTGATCATGACTTCCTGTTTCTCGCCCTGTTGCAATTTGACCTTTTTAAACCCCTTGAGCTCTCTCACAGGGCGGGAAATACTGGCGTGGGTAGGTGGGTATATGTATATTTGAACAGTCTCTGCACCACTGCAAGACCCAATATTCTCCACTGAGACGGACACTTCCAGCACTTCTTCTTTAACTCTGTTCCGGGCCTCCAACGGCTGCGACACAGCAAGCCCCGAAAGACAGAATATTGTATAAGAGAGGCCGTAGCCGAAGCCAAAGAGAGGCTTCACTTTGATCTTTTCATAGTACCGATAACCGACGTAGATGTCCTCGCTGTACAACACTCGTCCTCCTTCTGATCGATAAGACAAGTATGTCGGGTTTTGCTCGATCGACTCTGGGAAGCTGAGAGGAAGTTTGCCAGACTAGACGGTTAGTTAGCTAGTGTTTAATATGCAATCTGCTCAATACTCACCGGATTCACATTTCCAAAGATGACATCGGCAATACCGTTTCCTGTTTCGTTCCCACCATACCATGCGTGAAGAAGGGCCTTCACGTCCCGAGCCCACGGCATTGTCACAGGCGTTCCACTCTGCACAACAACCACAGCATCTGGATGGATAGCGAGGACTCTTTCGACCAGCTGATCTGACATCGGCGGGAGATCCATGTGTGGACGGTCAAATCCTTCGCTTTCCCATTCTCCACTCAGTCCAACAAAGACAATCACCTGGTCAACTGTAGCTGCCAGGTCCACAGCTTCTTGGATGGCACATTCTGTGTCGATCCGTTTGCATCCTCCCACTCGCAGTCCTCCGGGTCCAAATGAAACGACCCCGTGTAATTTCAGGTTGGAAGTCGGGGCAGTACCGTAGTCGACTAGTATCTTGTACTGTTGATTTGCTTCAAGGTGCTTGGAGCCGCGTTCTTCCGGGGTCCCAATGCCGAAAAATGACGTTCCCTGTCGCTGATTGGCCTTGTTATCGACTACCTTTTCGCCATCGACGAAGAGATCTCCGGTACCGGCTACCGTAAGGCCAAAGTCATAAATCCCACTTTCCGTGGGCTCAAATATCCCTTCCATGGTGATGTAGTAGAGGTCCGAATGGACTTCTGGATGTTTGTAGTCCATCAAAAAAGCGGAGCTGCTGTTCATGTGGAGGATATCAACTGCCTTTCTGTCTTTGTTGGAAGAAGGCTCGGTAAACACACTGAATATATATCCGGGCCGACCATCTTCGGTTTTCAGCTGGTCCCCTAGAAGTGGCAGCTCTTTGTGGCTATACACTCCCTGTGAGAAGACTACGTGCCCGGTACAGATGCTATTGATTCCTTCTAGGGGTGTAATAGCATAATAGCCCGGCAGAGCCGCAGAGCCTCCGCCACAGTATGCTGCAATGTTGGCATTAGGTCCGATCACGAGGGTCTTCTTGGTCGGATCAAGAGGAAGGATCTGATCATTATTCTTGAGAAGAACAATAGACTCGGCGGCTGCTCTGCGGAGCAATGCTTTATCTTCGGGAAGGTTCCGTTGAACTTCGGGTGCGTTTTCAGGGATTTCCGAGCTGGTTGTTTGTTTTATCAGCTCTAACACACCGCGGACCCGATCATTGATAGTCCTCTCTGAGACCTTGTTGGATGTGATGGCATGCACCAAGCCCGGCCCCCGAAACCGAGAAGGGCCAGGCATTTCGAGATCTAGCCCAGCATTGACGGCCTCAGACACACTATAGGTGCCAAACCTGTTCTGTTCAGTTATAGAAGTTTGAAGGAAGCGAACCAACGAACCAATCGCTCATGATAAGGCCTTTATAATCCCATTCCTTCCGAACAACATCCTGGAGCAGATCAGGACTCTCGCTGGCGTGGCATCCGTTCACCTTGTTGTACGAGGTCATAAGTGCCCCAGGATTAGCGCCCGTGATGGCTAGCTGGAAGGGAAGTAGATATATCTCCCGAAGAGCACGCTCAGTGACAAGGGCGCTGACAGCCACACGCTCATGCTCCTGATCGTTGCATACAAGGTGCTTCGGTGTCGGGATCACATTCTCGGACTGTACACCCAAACAATAACTAGCAGCCAAGGAGCCCGAAAGTACAGGATCTTCTGAGAAGGATTCAAACCCCCGACCTCCCAGTGGGCCTCGTTGGATATTGATTGTCGGACCTAGGAGAACATGTGCCCCCTTTGCCTTGCATTCTAATCCAAGAAGCTTTCCAAGGGAAAGGATGAGCTCGGTGTCAAATGAAGCGCCTAGTGCTGTGGCACAGGGCAAACAGGCTGAAGGAACTCCGTTGAAAAAGCGGGTGCCTCGAACACCATTTGGTCCATCTGACATGCGAATTGAGGGAATTCCCAATCGCGGGATTGCTGTTGTGTGCCAGCCATCGACTCCTTTTTGTCTGGTGAGCTGGGAAAGTTTGGATTGGTAAAAGCGACGAACCTGAAAGTAATGAGACCTTCTCATTTAGGGATAGCTCTGAGAGCACGTGTTCAATATCAATTGTCGACATAGTGGAAGGAACGATGTATGGGAAGATGGTTCAAAAAAGGAAAAAATGATTGCAGTTCCGGCAGGTCCGATTCTTAAATCCAACGAGTATCTACATTTCTTAAGTAATGTAAGCTTGAAAAGTCTAAGTGTTATAGAGCATCGCGGAGTATCGGACTTGTGCCATTGGAGTGGAACCAATGCTGCGGGCCAGGTTGCATTCATCCGGGAACTTCCTACAAGACATTTGAAAGTGTGGGCTCGCTTTCATATTCTCATAGTTAGCCTAAATAATACATTGATACTACTTTGTGTTTGAAGAACCGGTTGGTGACATAAATAAACTAATCCCAACCACATTTGAGCTAATTTTCCCTTGCCTCCAACAGTGTCTGCACAATATTGAACAACCCCATTATATTATTGGACTCATGCTTCCAGAATCCCAACATCCGAGAAACATCACATACTGCTCCCTCCCAGCCAATAGGCAGAAAACAGACAAGATCCACGTTGCGCTCAGTGGCAAGTAACACCAAGGCACTCCTTGCACACGATCGAAGCATCAACAATGTTCCATGATGACGATTGTAGAACCCCGTTTAATTCTGCTGTATTCTATCCACACAGACCATCAGTCCTTTGTGAAGAAAATTATTGCTGGTTCCATGGACTCGGCCATGTATTGCTTTGACCAGAAAGTGCCAGTACATTGTCTCTTGACAGTCAAGAAAATGACCACTGAGAATAACTTGGAAGGGCTCATATTGGTATGTATAAGGGTTGTCTACGTCTGGAGCCAGTGCTTTGGGGAGAGATCGGAGCCTAGCCTTTGTTAATCGGTGTGTTGTTTCATCTGAGATATTGCCTACCATGCGTCTGCTTGCTCCTAAAAGTCAAGGATCACTGATTCCAGGTTAGACTTTGAGATAAAAGAGTAAGGTTGGTAAAAATAGTTCAGACTGCGGTTCTCCAATCTCCGTAAAGCAATTTCAGCCAGATAGAAGTACCATGCTGCTTCATCTATGGACTTAAGCTCTTCTGGGGGCGACGGAAAGAATGTAGGATATTTAAGATCTAGAAAATTCTTTTGGTAAAGATTCAATTCTAGTGGTAGCTCTCTATCAAAATAATGTTAGACATCGTCTCTTGGTTCAGTTTTGGTCTACTTACAGCTCAGACTTCAAGCAAGTCCAGTATACTCTCTGCTTCGTCCCCCACGCATCTTCATGGCGGTCGTTTGTGCGGATAATGGCAAAGCCCTCGCAGCACGCCAGTGCTTGCACAAACATCCGCTATGCTTCCACCGACCGAAAATTTGTCAATAGATATACACCAGCTAGGAAAAAGCATTGCGCCTCTACTCTATTGTGCCGCTCCTGGATAGCAACATACCCATCCGCTTCTGTGCGGCAAGGAAATACGCTTCGCCTTGGAGAAACTCCTTTGACTTGCGAAGGAGACTAGAAGATACGCCTTGCCCATTTGTAAGAAATGGGGTCGCGATTGAACCATTGGCGTATATGAGAAGCTAGTACTCCATGCGTTCGGCATATGAAGATAGGTTAGGAGCACTCAACAACAAAAAGACATTGCGTCCCACCCCACACCATTCAATCGCACAATCTTCACATAGTCGTTGATATCCTCTTCTTTTAGCGTAGGTTGAAGATATGCACATTATCGAAAAAACTTCGAACGAGGTGGTCGGCCGCATGGATATCAAGATCGACCAAGATATTTAGGTCCGGTTGTATTATATTCTCTTCGGATGGAGATAATAAATAGAGCCGCGGTTCAAACTCATGGTCATCGAAAACAGGCCATTTGAGAACCTCCTCAATGTTGATAAAAAATGGTTTCCATTGTCTCTGCTGGACCAAATGCCCAAATTTCATGCAAACTGCTAGACGGCGATGTAGAAAGGAGCACGTTAGACAGAGCCGCCAGGGGTGGATCGTTGACCTTGGTCTGGATCATTGCTTCCAGATCATCGATCCGTTTCAGAATCATCAGACTTGCGGAATCAAATCTGCTGCTCGATTAATTGCCTTTTCTTTTTTTTTTTCCAAATCTTCAATTACTATTTGATTACTCTAAAAGAACTTACGTCGACAAACAAATCTGCTGGTAGGAACATTCCGCTCGGAGCCGCACACACGATGCACACGAGGGCCGAGTGTTATCGCACTTCGTGCGTCTAAGGCGACAGCTTTGGCATGCTTGAGTGGCTCGCTTCTTAGGGTAGGTTGCGGCTGCACGGGCGTGTCTTCGTTTCTGGACATTCGGCTTGTCGGCAGGTGGGGTAGGGGATTCCATGTTGGAGGTCAAGACCTGGGGTTGGAACTGGGACCGGTAGGCTGCTTCCATCAAAAAAGAAACATGGTGTGATTCCTGACATCTTCCATGCAAGCCATGAAGTGAAATAAGTATTCAGCGGAGTTTCGGAGAAGAGGAGGGCGGGGGGGGGCTCAGCATCCTCGTATTTGTGCTTTGGTCACATAGAGCGCACATGATGTTTCCACCTTTACCTTAGACCGGTTAGATATGACCCTGTATGCTAATATAGGGAAATTTGGTGGCATTTACCATGCCGTTTGATTCGCATCTTCCCCAGATGAGGAGAAAAATCCCGGAGGATGCCGCCGCCGCGGGGAAAATGAGTTCATCCGGAACTAAACCCAAACTGGCCCATAAGACGGTGACTATAAACAGCTTGAGCACAAAAGACCAGTGTTAATATGCCGAACTGTGCTAGTAAAAGCGGAATTTCGGATCCCAACCACCACCGCACTATTCCCTGTGGACAGGCAATAATGATGAGAAAAATGGAGTTTTCGAACCGCAGAGTTGAGTTCAGCCATCAACTCCAAGAAGCATATTCATTGCGGAATCACGGATTGATGCAATAAGAATTTGATATAATGGGCACTACACCACGAGAATCCAGTTATGATTGGCACTCAAGTCATTTTTCTACTTAATTCATTCAATCCACAAACCTGCGATCAAAATGACTGACCAGGACGATAAGCCAACAACCGATACCCGTGACATTCACACCAATAACCCCGGTGAATGGAACCTGAAAAGCGTTCTCCCAAATACCGGCAAGCCATGGTACAATCACCGTCATCTTCTGCTCCTCAATCTTGGAATGATTGTTCCTTATCTATCCTCGACGACCAACGGCTATGACGGATCCATGCTCAACGGTCTTCAGTCGATGAGCCAATGGCAGGACTTCTTCGGCCATCCGACCGGTACCCGCTTGGGCTCGCTTTCTAACGGAGTGATCTTCGGTCAGATCGCTGCTTTCCCCATCGCTCCTTGGCTCTGTGACCACATGGGCCGACGGTTCCCAATCTTCCTCGGATCGATACTCCTAGTCATTGGAGCCATCCTTCAATGTGCTGCGCAGAACTATGCGATGTTTTTGGTCGCCCGTATGGTGATCGGATTCGGTGGTCTCATTGCCGTCGAAGCATCACCCCTGTTGGTTAGTGAATTGGCGTATCCGACCCATCGATCTGTTTTAGTCGGTTACTATAACAACCTCTGGTATCTTGGAGCTTTGCTTGCCGCATGGATCACATACGGAACCTACTTTATGGGCCCAAACTTGTCATGGGCCTGGCGCATCCCGTCTCTTCTACAGGGATTCTTGCCCCTGTTGCAAGTCCTGTTCATCTATATGCTTCCCGAGTCGCCCCGATACCTCGTTCAGAGAGACCGCTACGAAGAAGCCCGAAAGGTGTTGACTAAGTACCACGCTGGCGGAGACGAGGACTCTCCGCTGGTCGACTTCGAGATGAAAGAAATTATTTTATCAATCCAGACCGCGAAAGGAGCTTCTCGGGCTGGCTATCGCGAGTTTCTAAGCACTAAGGGCAACTTGCATCGCCTTTCTATCATCATTGCAGTGCCTTGCATGATGCAGCTGTCTGGCAACGGTCTCATCGCCTACTATCTTCATCTCATTCTCAACTCCATTGGCTTCACTTCGGATCCGCAGCAGCTCCGTATCAACGGTGGTTTGACAGTATTCAACTTGGGAGTTTCAATTATCCTAGCTTCGTTTATGGAGGTGGTTGGTCGACGACGCCTGTTCCTTTTCTCCACAGTGGGCATGTTGACCTGCTATGTGATTTGGACAATTCTCTCAGCAATCAATGAACAGCGTCATTTCGAAGATACCACTCTCGGAACTGGCGTGATCGTGATGATTTTCATGTATCAGCTCTTCTACAACGCCGGTCTCAATGGGCCGCCATGGGTTTATGTCACTGAAGTGCTTCCTACCCACCTCCGTGCCAAGGGAACGAATATCATGCAGATCGCGGCTACATGTGCTATTCTCTTCAATGGATATGCCAACCCCGTGGCAATGGATGCGATCAGCTGGAAATACTATATTGCTTATTGTTGTGTGATTGGTGTTGAGATCGTGCTTGTCTATTTCGGTTTCCCCGAAACCAAGGGTCGTAGTTTGGAAGAGGTTGCCTTAATTTTCGATGGAGACAAGGCCTTCGGTGGCGTCTATGAGAAGCAAAGCCCCGAAGGAGTTTAAGTTAGTCAGAAGCGGGATGGTGGTATGCTTATAGTGAAACTGGAGACTTGGTGGAGGTGTGGTTTGGATGTCTGTGTGTGGCTTAGCTATAGTTGGATGGAAGACTGTTTGTGGTCTTGTCTATTGGAGAATTTGTTGAAAACGCTAGCAAGACCCTCGACTTCCGCAATTGTAGACTTTTGCTAGAATGGGAAACTCCAACAGAATGCCATCGAGTAGGATGTATATTACTCCTTCTCTCCGCGGAGAAGGGAGAATTAGCCAAATATAACAATAGTAAGCTTCCCATACGCCCCGCAATATTATCTATGACTGCAATATATACCAGATCCGAACAGTAGAATCAAAGATGGCTGTAATTAGTAGTGGGCGGCTGCGATAACATAAATTGTTGAAATACGATGTATATCTATGTAGCATACACCCTGAGAAAGAAATTGTTTAAGTCTGTCTATCTATACTATGTAGCTCACCTAGCATTTATAGACATGTTTATGGAGATGAATTGTGGTGTCCATCTATCAAGAGTTCCACGGAAAACAAGCTTCATAGAGGTTCAGTGCTGATAATGAGATTTAGGCCTGATAAAGCAGGCAATAAGATCTCACAGTCTCATGAATCTCAACATACATAACGCAGGAAGTAATGGCTGGTGTCGGCAAGTTACATATGTGAGGATCACTACACTATGGAGTATCTGAGACCTTTTAGAGAAACACTTTGTGCAATTCTTGTGGGACGAGGTAAATAGACAAAGAAGCAACGGGAGAGCAAATTAAAGCAAACTAGCTAGCTACTAGGTCCTGTCACCATGGATGGCCTATAGCCCCCACCAATATAACCTCCTTACTGGCCCTAGTGAGGAACCTCAGGATACTGCAGATTATGACAGTTTCCAGTACATTCCTGGTAAAGTCCGATAAATCCATACCCCCCACAGTTCTGACCGGGGTTGCCCCTGCAGGGATATAGACAATTTCCCATCGGAGTGACCTTCGGCTTCTTGACAGGGCCAACGCTATTTCCACAAAAGCATTCTTCGGAGTTCTCGAGGCCTGCAATTGTGTATCCATCCGCCTTACATTTCTGGATACACTTCTCAATGGTCATGTAAGACCCCCGTAAACTGGAGCCCGTGAGGATGCGGGCGCCGCCTGCATTATCGACCGTGCAGCCGATCCATTCCCAACCCAGATCGCTGGTGACATTGGTATAGTAGTGCCGTGGCGATCCGATCTCCGTAGGCGCACCACAGCCAGTGAATATAGTCGCATCATTGGGGCCTGGCTGGATCGGATTGCAGCCTGGCAGGGCATCGAGCCATCCTCCCACTTCCTCGTCGATTGAGGGTTCCAAAAGACAACCATCCGTGACAGTGTCGGGGTATAGGTGAATCGGCGGGCATTCGGTTATATCACCGCCACCGTCATTGCAGGTATCAATAGCTTCTTGGACAACATCCACGTCCCACCCATTGACAAAGTCTCCATGTAAGCCGTATTCCGTGGGATCGCCGAAAGAAAATACAAATGGCTGACTGTCACCATACCACATGCCTGCAAATTTCTCGGTATGCCAGGTGATCTCGTAAAAGAAAGACACAATCCGAACAGGGTGCGATGCAGGGCACGGGCCGTTGTTATATGTTTGAGTTGGATATGCCACGTGCGACTTGTGGTTAGGGCTGTCCAACTTGACTCCATCCCAACACGAAGGGAAGTAAACCGGGACACGGAGACCGTTGGGGCAGTTTGTCTTTGGGAAACCATTAGTCTGGGGCGTCCCAGGATCGTCATAATTGAGACAGGCGAAGGTACGCGCATCAGCCTCGATTGTGTCCTTGCATTGGCGGTCAAATAGACTGCCGGCAATCATGCGGAAGCCAGGCGGGGGAGCCACAGTTTTCCCGTCGGTAGTTGGGTCTGGACGTTGCCTCGATCATTTAGCATGGCCCCTTGGTGAAGGGGTAAAGGAATTCTCACTCGTAGTAGATCAAAGATCCGCTGTCCTGTGGGACTTGGATGGAACTACCATTCTGGGCATGGAAGTAAAGTGCCGCAACCCAGTAGTTGGATTTATCTTCAATCGGAGAGCAGGAGTTGCATTCTGAAGTTGTGCCATGTCGTAGTTCATGGTAAATCCGAAACCAGACCCTCCCATAATAGTGTGAACATGATTGAAGGCTACTCCAGTTGAGAAGAGCGGGTCTGCTCTCTCAATCACGGGAGATGTACTGCATGGCACCTTGAAGAAGGCAGATGCAGGACTCAGACATAGGAAGAGAAAGGGAATGTAGTTCGGAATAAACTGTATCGTAAAGAACCTGCAGTATCTAAGACTATTTTTCATGGAAGAGAAGTTTGGTGCTTTTATTTCTCGAATTGTGGCAGCTGTCACTCTTTTATCATCATGTTCTCCGTCTCCCTGCAACCAGGTAATCCATATTTGGGGCTTTTTTTCAATTCGAAAGACTGAAAAGTGTATATAGAAGTTGTATAAAACCACAAAAGCTTCGTTATCTCCGTGATTCCGCTGTGTACACTATAGTAATACACTCGTACTCACTATGGTCTCATTTTATAGCGCTCGGTACCGGAGTTCGTGTCAGAATTGGCCTAGTGGGCATTAACCACTCGAATACGGCCATAGACTGAAGATTCTTAATTAAACATGCATACTCTGCGGGGTTTCTCTATGAGACATTCGGTAGAATAATATTGTGGAAATTGTTACGAGCCAAGTCTTGATGAAAAAGAGTGCATTCAACTAGAATACTAAACATGGGGAAAGAAAGAAAGAAAGAAGAAGAAAGAAATAACACGCTGAAACCATTAAGGTAGTGATGCCTAAGGCATCCAATCACACAATGTGAAACACGAACTACGAAAGGCGGTGGAACATGGCAGAATCGGTTCAGGATCATTGATCCTGAATTCTTCGTGACAGATATCGTCGGAAGTGATACTATATTAAGCAATCGTTTTTTTAATAAGCTTAAATCAATTAATAATAATATTTAGATCTTCTATTAAGGCGCGTTTATGGTTATATTTGCGAGAGAATCGACTAGAAAGCTCGGGATGTCGTTTAATATATTATGTCGGAATGCTATCTACACCTGACCAATAAGAATGTGCGAAAACTCTGTGTTTTATTTACCCTGGCTCTGGCAATTTGTAACGTGGATCCCTGTTACTCCGGCCACCCGGTTACTCCGGCCACTTTCTTAGAACTTCAAAAAATCATAATATTGAACATCATATTCAATACCAAAAATAAACATAAATTGACTATCTAAAACGCGTAGGACATGTAGTATATGTATGCCCTTGAATTCCACACCCAGAGCACGTCACAACACGCCTAATTAGGGGCATAGGAGGAAGTGTAGGTTCAACTGCAACTTCCACAGCAGTATCCATTAGATATATATCTTCCATTGCATCTTCATTTTCCACATCCACACCCTGTCGAATTTCCTCCAAACTCCGCAGGCTGCCTATATAGGGTATCTGCTTCTTACTAGCAGCCCTCTTTTTAACAACCTTCTTATTTGAAGCCTCTAATTTCGTTAGGCGGTCTTCCACAATAGTAAGCCGAACTGCGGTCCGAATATACATATCATGCGATCGATGAATTCGCCGTTTTAAAGGTGAAGTCATAGGTCCCGACAGAGGTTCTAGTCCTTTTTTGATCGTAGAACTTGTTTTTTGAACTTTTGAGAGACCCCAGAGAGTATCCAAATCGCTAGTACTACTAGAAGAAGTAGGCCGTAGTGGGTGGTCAGAAGGGAGAGAGTTCACAGATTCAACACAAATGTTAAGCTTCTCTAATATATGATTAGCATCTAGAGGTACTAGACCAGCACCTCTAAAACTATTTTGTATAGTAGAAGCTTTAAACGTAGCCCTTCTTGCGATAGGGTAAATTTGAAGGAAGTCGTCTTTATCAATTGAATTCACCCCGTTCCGCATTTCTTCCCCAATCAACCCTCCATATGCCTTTTTTAGTATAGAAAAACAGCCTACATCAAGAGGCTGTAGTAAATGAGACGCATGGGCAGGCATACAGAGGCAGATTATCTTATTCTCCTTACACAATTTATCAAATTGTGGAGTAAGATAAGAGGAATGACCATCAAGAATCAATAATATATAGGCCCCTTTTCGCGTAGAATTAGGTATAAAGTGCTTCTGTAGCCAATCGAGACCAATCTGGTCACTAGTCCAACCATTTGGACTAAGATTGATAGCCCAATTTAGAGGTAAAGGGAACCAGCGTTCTAAAAAGACCTTGCCCTTAAAGATTAAGTACGGCGGGAGAATACCACCTTCAGCGTTAATAGTCTCAACCACAGTAACCCATTCACGATTTCCTGCTTATAGAACCTTTCGTTTACCATGGTATTCCGCAGAACATATGATATATTGTGAAGAGGTAACACCCATCGCGAATCCCGTCTCATCAAAGTTCCAGATATCAGCCGGAATGATACCATATTTTTGGATAGTATTTTGGACGAGATCAAACCACCCTTTTATAAGTTTAGGGTCTTCAGATAGAGCTCTCTCATAGTCATATCGACGAGAGAGATAAGAGGCAAGAGAATCATGGCGTTTGATAAAGTCTGTAACCCAATTTTTACCAACTTTCGGAGGGGTCTCGGAGGGTGTTAATTCACGGGCACGAAGTAGTAAATTAGCCATATCCCGACACATAGCATGTGTGAGGGCAAACCCTCTAGAGTCCATAGAGAGCAGCCATTCTTCCATCGATTTCTCTTCAGGTTCAGAGAATTTATGGCGATGATGGCGGCGTACAACCTGACTTTCATGGCCCTTCATCCGATCTTGTAACGTTGATCGCGGCACAGTAAAAGCTTCGGCAGCAGCTCTAATAGAGGTGTATTTCCCATTTTCTATAGCTTTCATAGCTAACAGAAGGCGGCCCTCCTGTTCAACCAATTTTTGAGCTTTTTGAGATCGAATTGGGGGCATTGTTGATGTTCAAAAACATACGTTGCTATGGGATCCATTTTATTTTGCGGGTGGCCGGAGTAACCGGGTGGCCGGAGTAACAGGGATCCACGTTAGGGTTTTTGGCATGACTAAGTAATTACAAATGAACAGTGGATACTTGCGGGCAATTCACCGACACACCCCCTCATCGGGGTCAGCACTCTCTGCTCTCTGGCCTCGATGACGACCTGGTGAATCTACCCTGAAAGCTCCATTTAAACACTTTTCATGAAGCAGCCTCTGTTTCCTATTCAGGAATCACTGATCATGTGATCGATGGTAAACATCCTGAGCAACCTAACAAATTCCTCATGCTTCTGTCTAGGAAGCAGCTTCGTCAAGCCGTCAGCAACCATCCTCCCGGTCGGCACCCATCTCACGGCAACCCTCCCCGCTCTGGCTTCCTGTCGTACCCAATGGTTATGGATATCAATGTGCCGGAGCTTAGTCTCAAACCGGGAATTCTCCTAGTTTACTAAGGCGACTGTACGCTCGTTGTCACAGTCAATCGTTATAGTATGTGTTATGTTAAAACCGATGTTTTCAAACATCCTTCTCCACCACTGGAGGTGCTTGCTGGCTTCGGAAAGTGCTAGCAACTCCGCTTCAGTGGTAGATGTTGTGACAGTAGACTGTTTACTGGCTTTCCAGTCCACAGGGCCCCCATATATCTGAATAATGAATCCAGCGGAGCTCTTTCTGTCGTCGTGATCCCCGTACGAAGCATCGCTTGATATCTGTACCGAGTGATCACTTGATTTGATCCCTAAACCCGAGTTTGGGCTTCCCACACTGGCTGAGTATTCAATGGCAAGATACCGGGTAGAATACAGGTAGATAATCAGCCTATCAACTGCCTGGTGGTGCTGTGGTCCTGGGTTTACCAGGAACTGTGCTAGTTTAGCACACGCTTTAGCAGCGTCGACCCGTGTGATAGTGCAGGCATATCCTATAGAGCCAACCTTCTGTTGATACAGGTTGATCTCTCGGGGAGTAGCTTGCCCATCATACTTCTTAAGGTCTTCGACAGCCATTAGTGTGCTTACTGGTGCTCGCTCTATAAGATTGTAGCGAGCGGCTATTCCAGTGATATAGCTATCTTGGCATAACCACAGCTTCTTCTACACCCTATCTCTGATAATCCGGATATTGAGAAACCACTCAGCGTCACCATGGTCTGTTAATTCCCAGTGCGCTTCGAGGGCTCTCTCCAGATCAGCAGCTTGCTGCCTTACAGTGTAGTGTGCAGCAATCAATATATCATCCACATAGAAGAATATCAATATACCTTTCCCCACAAACACATAGGGATCCTCTAGGACTTGCCTTAGCCCCAACTTCTTCAATATAGTAGCCGCTTCCTGCTGCTATAGCCTCGGAGAGATTCTCAAACCGTAGAGCGCTCTCCGTAGTTTCTAGCACTTGCCGGGGGTAGCGAAACCTTCAGGCATGTGGGTGTACGTTTCCTGATCTAGTTTAGCATTTAGAAACGTAGTAACAGCGTCTCTTTGCCTCAGATCAAGATCATATGCCGCCACGAGGGCAAATAACATTCTCGCAGTGCGAGCAGCAAGTGTAGCTGCTCTCTTCTCTTCGGCAGAGATGGTCTCGAGGTCTCCGCGCACACAGATCCGGGCTTTAAGCTTAATGAGATACCCATCTTGGTCAAATTTGTATGCGAAGATCCATAGGAGAGGGAGCACTTGCTTTCCTTTGTCTTTCGGGGTTGATACCACCTTAAAGGTCTGCTTGCTGGTAATGCTATCGATCTCCTTCCTTATTGCTGCCGTCTATCCTTCCTGGAAAGGGTGGTTCAACACATCTTTCCAACGCTTCGGAAGAGGTGGCATGTCATCT